TGCCTTTATTGTTAATTTGTTGTATTGACTTTCATCTGCAGCATTTGGAGTTTAAAAATAGTGTCAAGGGTCCTAATAGAAATAGTGTCCTAAGGCCAATCATCATACTGACAATCAGCAGATAAAATCTGGATGTGAGATTCTTTGCACTCTAATTATCCCTGAGGCTGAGAAATAAAGAATTGTCTTCCATTAGAAAATCCTGTTCAAGTCAGGTCCTTCTCTATAGTTCAAAATTGAAATAGGTTTACATAACTAGCATTTAACCAGCTTTTACTTGCCTTTGGAGGAAAAGAATCTTGTTTTTTTTGTTTTGTTTTTGAGATGAGTCGTCTCGCTCTGTCAACTGGGCTAGAGTGCCATGGCGTCAGCTTAGCTCACAGCAACCTCAAACTCCTGGGCTCAAGCGATCCTCCTGCCTCAGCCTCCCGCGTAGTTGGGACTATAGGCATGTGCCACCATGCCCGGCTAATTTTTACTATTTTTAGTAGAGACAGGGTCTCACTCTTGGTCAAGCTGGTCTCGAACTCCTGAGCTCAAGCAATCCTCCCTCCTCAGCCTCCCAGAGTGCTAGGAGTACAGGCGTGAGCCACCGCGCCCAGCCTGGAAGAAAAGAATCTTGTTCTCAACCTGATTTCTATAGAGAAAAATGCTACATCAAAAATGCAGGATGTCGTCCATGTGATAGGACGCAGTCTATTTGTTGTAACCAAGTGGAACATTTCTCGTGGTGGGTGGAGAGCGTTAGAGTGTTAGAGGGTCAGAGCTTCAGGTTTCCGCCGCTTGTTTCAAATATCCTTGGGTTTTTGTTTTTTTTTTTAACGCTTCCAAAGGAGCATCAGCTTTGGGAAGTGTGACCTGTGGGATTGTAGAAGGCAGTGGTACACGACCTCAGAGAGCCCCCACTCGATGCCACTCTTCCAGCCCACTGCTGCTCTGGCCCACAGCAATGGCGCAAGTCCCGCCCCCACCACTTGTACAAGCAGGGAGCTCTGGTTTTAGTCAATGGGCAGCACTGTGTGTAGGAGGAGGTTCCGCACACAGACAGCTGCAGGACTCTACATCCACGGCTTCTTTCCATCTCACTGCTTCAGGCTTCTAATTTGTGTTTCTCCTTATGGCTCCATTTCCCTACAATACTCCAATTTTGATATATGCTGTATTTTCATGAAATGACTAAAAGACGGGTTTTTTGTTCAGCAAGCTGGCCATACTGCCATTGTATTCCCTTCTCTTCAGTGTGGTTTTAGAGTGCAGCTCAATTATTAGACTCTCCTTGTCTACTCATTCAGTATACATACATCTTTGCTGTTTGAAAGGCGTTACAGCTGTCAAAGAATCTTCATGGACCTGAAGATAATTTCTTGTGAAGTTGAATGCAAATGTACTGTCATTCATAGTGTTTGTATAAAAATAGCAGGAATCTTCACTTTTGCTACCTTGATATATAGCATTGGGCTATCATGTCACAATATCAAAATACATTGATCTATTTTTAAAAACTTCTATAAAAAATAATAACAAATAAATCGGGGCTGGCCAGGGAGCCAGTAGCCTGATGACAGAGGCCCTTGTTCCTATGCAGGGCCAAGAACTTGGTATTTGTACTCTGGGCAATCGGGAACTACTGAAAGATGTTAAGGAGTAGTGGAACGGCGACAAGCAGATTTGTGTGTGAGAGAGCTCGCCCAGTGGCATTTTGGAGGATGGGCTTGAATGGGCCGAGGCTGGGCGCAGGAGGCTCTTTGGGCAGTGACACAAGTGTGATGATGGGGCCAGAAGAAGGAAAGAGAAGAGACACACGAGAAGTATTTGGGAGGCAACCCTGGCAAGGCTGGGTGATTGTGTTTGAGAGGAGAAAGAGGGCAGAGTGGAAGTGAGCACCCAGATACGAGCTCAGGTGACGGGCTGGGCCACAGGAGGCAGGCATGGCCAGGCTGGGGCAGGGGAGCAGTGGGCGATGAGTCAGGGTCAGGATGTGGAGCTTCACTCATCTGCGGGATACGCCCTGGAGCTAGCAGCCGGTTCTCAAGTTCAGGAGAAAGTCCAGACTACATCCCAATTTGGTAACCATCAGTATATTGGTAGGTATTTTATTTGTTTTTATTTTTAAATTTATACAGTGACTTATTTTGGGTGGCAAATACTTTTGGATCAATAAAGCCTTATGGTAATTACCAACGTGTAATCTGTTCATGAAGTCAAATTTGTACAAATCTTAATTAAAAAAATAAATTTATGTTTTTTTGCAGTGCTTGATTTGTGTCTTTTTTTAATTTTAAAGAAATTATGGGTACAAATAGTTGTATATATTTGTGGGGTACATGTGAAATGTTTTGATACAGACAGTGCAATAATCAAATCAAGGTAGTTGGTGTACCCATCACCTCAAGCACTTATCATTTCTTTTTGTTAGGAACATTCCAATTCCACTATTTTAGTTATTTTAAAATATACAATAACTTATTGATAACTACAGTTACCCTGCTGTGCTATCCAGTATTAGATGTACTTTTGCACCCGTTAACCATCCCCACTCTATCCCCCTCCCTACTACCCTTCCCAGCCTCTGGGAACCACCATTCCACTCTGTCTCCGTGAGATCAGTTGTTTTAATGCTTAGCTCCCACACAGGAGTAAGAGTATGTGAGATTTGTCTTTCTGTGCCTGGCTTATTTCACTTAACATAATCTTCTCCAGTTCCATCCACGTTGTTGAAAATCACAGGATTTCGTTCTTTTTATGGCTGGATAATATTCCATTGTGTACGTGCATCACATTTTCTTTATCCGTTTATCTGCTGATGGACACTTCGGTTGTCCCGCTCGCGGCCGTCGGGACGGAGCTGCGGTGAGCACGGGGCGCGGGCGCCCCTCCGACGCGCCGATTCCTTTCTGTGGGCACACTGCTGGATCGTACTGTAGCTCCATTTTTAGTTTTTTGAGGAACCTCCACGCTGTTCTTCATCGTGGCCACACTAACTTACATTCCTAATTGGTAGGTGTTTTAAACCGCGAGCGGGACAGGAGAAGCAGGGGAGAGCACACAGACCAGTATGAAAAACAAGCCGAAGCCCAAACCCTGGGGGCCATCAGTGACGCAGGTTTGTTTTCGACCGCGAGATGCGAGATGCGAGCTGCGGCGCGGGGAGCCGCCGGGAGGGGGCGCAATCTGGGGGCACGTCTGCTCCGCCACTGCGGGACGCGCGCCTGGTCCTTCGCGCCACGGCCGCGCTCCCCGACCGTCTCCCCCCCGCGCCGAGGGGGTGAATCTCTCTAAACCTCCTCCGAGGCTCCTGTTTCTCTGTCCGCCCTCGTGAGGGTTTGGCCTCAGCTCTTTTTCCGCGCCGTAACTCTCTAGGCCGTCGCCGCCGTCTGTGCTGAAAATCCCAAACCGGTCCTGCGGCCCCGACTGTCCCCGCCTGGGTCCCTCCGCGCACCCGCGTGTCTCCCGGCTGCCTCGCGCTCGGCGCGCCGCCATCGGACTGTTCGGCATCGCCTCGGTTACGGGCGCCTCCCTTCCAGGGCCGCCCCGCCTGCGCACACGTTCCTCCTGTTCCGCAGCTGTGGCCTCGGCGCCACCCCGCCCGGACCCTTCCGCGACCCGCAGGACCCCAGGGCGCGGCCTCCCCTCGCCGCGGCGCCGCTCCCATGTCTGCCACCTGCTGGGAGGCAGGGCTCACGTCTTCGCTGCGACCACGTCCTCTTTGTTGAGCGGCAAACGAGCTTGGAAGGCAAGAACTCAGCAGCACTTGTAGGGGCTGATACGCCAAAGCGAGGAGAGGACGCGCCTTCCCTGGGACTGAACCAGCGGCGGCGACGAGACGCTGGTCTGGACGTTCACAGGCTGCTCCGGGAGTTAGGGGCCGAGGGACACATTTTCATCAGGAAAGTAGGAGGCAAGGTGGCTTACCGAGAACGAGGGGAGGGCGTAGGTTTGGGGCCTGCGTCCAGTCGTGACGGCACAGGCAGGCCGTCGAGGGGCCAGGTAAGAGAGGACCGAGAGGACAGCCCCACACGGGGCCGGAGCGTGGCGCCGGCCTCCTGCAAAGTAGCTTACAGTCCACGAAAGTCACTCCAGATTTCCACTGTGTTTTCCATCCATCGTAGAGATGGGTTTCTTCAGGATGGTTTAGGTCTGCCAGTATTTTTACCTGTAAGCTATGAAATTATTCCGTTTACCTATTATAAAAACAGTGGCATCTAAAGACAGAACCCTAGTCTGGGAGCTACTTGCTGTGCTTCATGAATCCCCACTTAATCTTCCATCTCCTAAATATTTACATATTAAAAAAATAAAGACTGAGTAACACTCCTGTGCTTTATTTTTTTGAGAGTGAAAATGCCCATATTTCTTTCAATAATAAAAATGGAAATATGCTTATTTGAAAGTTTTGTTGTGAACACGACCAAGTTGTGAACTTAAAAGTTCATTCTTTCAGGGTGATGAATTCTGGTAATAAAATAATGGTACCTCTTTTCAACAAAAGAATTTTCTAGGCACTGTTTCTCTCACCAAACCTTTGAGACTGATCCCCTTAGGAGCACAGAGCCTTACGTTAGCCGCGGAGAGATCCGCGCACACGTGCGTGCACACACATACGCGAAGATGAAGTGGAATTCCATTTTCACAAGAAGCGGCCACATCTTTGTAAGGTGGATTTGCGCCCCGTGATGGCACTCGTAAGTGGGGCCCGATGGAGGGACGTGGAGGCTGAGAAACAGCCGAATGTCTTGTTTTGGGGGTGGGCAGTCATCAGTTACCGAACCCGCAAAACAGAGGTCCTGTTCCCTCGGGGATGTGCGCGCTCCAGGCGGTGCGGAGTCTTCTAGCGCGTCCGTGGCCGTGGACAGCAGGCCGCCGCGCTGCAGCTGTGAATAGGCTATCTTCCTGCAACAGCCACATCCCGCCCCGCAAAGTATTGCGAAAGGTGGCTGCGTTTACGTTCTGAACAGATAGCTGTCTGTTGAAGGAAGCATCTGATACTAGAATACCCAAGTATGACTGCAGCAGAAGACATCACTACCTCTAAACTCCCTGCGCTAGATGTAGTCCATGAATTCTTTTGTTATTTTATTAATAATAAATACATTTGAAAAACCCTACGCTTCCGCTGATTTCTCGGATAAAGACCGAAGCAAGTCCTTGTAGAGGCCAGAGTTCATGAAGCGGGGGTACGAGTCTCTGTGCATCAGCGTGTAAATCTGCAGCTGCGCGTCGTCAAACACGTGCCGAGACGGCTCCCCCATGTTCCTGTCGATGACTTCGCGCACGCGGGAGTCCAGGCTGACCTGCCAGTGGGAACAAACGCAATTCGTAAATCCATCCCAAACTCCTGTAGCTTGTTTTGTATTTTAAAAATCCCAAACTGAACAAAACTATCCAAACATCCAAACTCTCGAAAGAGAAGCTAAAAGCGTAATGAACTGGGATCCTGAAACTCCAACGGCCTCAGCCGCTTGTTAAACACCCCAGACGCGGTAGGGCTTGGGAGGGGCCTGGCATTTGCATTTCTGACAGGTTCCAAGAAATGCTGGCGGGGATCGCATCGATTTAGAAAACCCTAACATTGTTTTGCTTCTTTAAAATGAGCACACTATGTCTTTTGAAGAAAAAAGGTAGCCTTTGCTGACTTATTCCTTGCTTTTTACTAGTAACGGGAGGCCTAAAACCTGGAGGCCCCAGGCTCCTGCCCAGCAGAACGCAGTGGCAGGTTTCCGGGTCGGGCGCCAGGCTGACTGGTAGGGTGGGCACAGGGTGAGGCGGAGCTGACTCGGCGCCCTGGGAGGTTCAAATCGTGGGGCCCGAGGGCAGACGATGGCTGTGTTCAAATCCCAGCCCTGTTGCTGCTCCGCTGTGCGGCCTTGGGCAAGACAAACTCTGTGTCCTAGTGAACTCCTCCCCAAAAGTGGGGATGACCATGATGGTGATGGCAGTTTCTAGATCTTGGTGATTTAATGAGAATTTACTTACAGTGCTTGGCATCCACTAAACCCCTAGGAGATGTCAGCTATTATTGCTCCGATGTTTTGCTCGTCTGAGACTGTCCCATAGACCCGAGCAAACTACTGGGCTCAGACTTTTCCTGTAGGACACCAGTCAAACAAGAGTCCAGGTGGAAGCGGCAAAGATGAACTCACATGTCTCTTCTGTATAAAGCACCTTAGCTGGCCGCGTAGTTCTACTGCACTCGATGCATATGCCATTAACATAAAACTGAAAACACGATTAGCTAAATCATTCATTTGAATATTGACTTCGGGGGTCTATCTGTCCAGCCCACGTATCCACCTTCCTCCTGGAAAGCCCCTCTTCCCTGCCCACAAAGCAATACATTCGAACAGACGCCCAGCATCTCCAGGCCTCTTTCTTGCGTAGCGCGTGACAAAATGAGACCATTTCTGTCCACGCAGTTCACAGTCCTTCTTGTCCTTAACTTGCCCTCTGGCTCTATATTCAGTCACCAGGTCCTGCTGACCCTACCTCTTTAACACTCTGCAATCTGCCCACCTCTTCCCTCCTCCCTGCCAGCCCCTGTGGCGCAGACACCATCTCCTGCTGGGTCTGTGCAGGGCCTCCTAACTGGTCTCCTGGCGTCTCACCTTTCCAATCCCTGCTCCCCCTCCAGCCATGGGGCAAAGTGCAAACCCGCCCTGACAGCCCAGCTCCACAGCCTGCGCTGGCTGGCGGGTGCTCTCGGGATCAACCCACAGTCTGAGGCTCCGAGGCCGTCTCCAGTCTGCTGCTACCGATTCCCAGCTCCACCCTCTTCCACTGGGGAGCTGTTCTGAACCACCTGGAATTAAAGAAGGAAGGCGCTAGAACTATCTTGTCCTTGTTCCCTCATCTAGAATAACCTTTCCCCCACACCATCCAAATCTCCAGGGCAATGTCCCCTCCGTCCATAGGAGTGAGCAGGTGCGGTGTGGCGAGGGTCAGAAATACCCCTGTGCTGTGCAGCTAACCAGTGAGAACTGAGGTTCCAACCTTCAGCTGACCCCGGGGCTATGCTCTGAAACTTTTTCAAGCTTTTACACTTCAAATAACAAATGTTTAAGTTGGGAAGGAAAGGGTCATCTTATATCATTTTTGCTTCATAAATTTGCTAAGACTTTTTTGGTTGTATTTATGCTGTAAAAGACATTGATGAAAAATCTTGTCTTAAGAAAAACCCAACATAGCAAGACCCCATCTCGAAAACAAAACAAAAACGAAAATCATGACAAAATAAAAATACGTGGAAGCCATAAATTAAAGGACAAAAACTCTTTGCTTCTTATTAATCCAAAATGAAAATAACTTTCTGCATTCAGTAGTCAAAGATGTCAGCTGAGTATCTCCAACTTGGCAACACAAACTTAAGTCAGTCAACTATCCTCCCATTTGGTCTGCCTAAGCTGGACATGTGGGAGTCATTTGAGACTCTGGGGTTCACCTTAAACCAAACCCTTCCTGTCTCGTCTCCTCGGCTGGCCTGGCAAGGCCCTCAGCAAGTCTGGTTTGGGCTCCTGGATTAGTCCTCTAACGTCCTCTGCCCTTAGTCAACTCCTACGCCATTCTGCAGCCATGCTGACCACCCAGAAATCCAAATGCCATGGTATTCTCATAGCAGGCTAAAATCAAGGGCTTTCCCAGGATAAAAATCCCGACGACTCAGCATGGCGCCCAAACGTGCCCATGCTCTTGGAGCACCGTTTCCAAGTCTGCTCCGGCACCTGCCACCAGCCCTCACGGCGTGGCGCAAGCCCTGCACTGCTGGCACACTGGACTCTCTACGCTTGTCCTGCTGGACGGGTTCGCGCTTTCCTCCTGCCGTCGTCCAGTCCTGTCTGTCCTCTGGGACGTCCTTATCCCGCTGTGTTTCTTTCTGGTCACGTGCTTTTCATTCCCCCCGTCCATCCGCAGCCTCTCTGAGTGTCTCCACTGCACCCCTTGGGCCTCTGTGAGCACCAGCCGTGTCCCCAGGGGTCCCCGTCTGTCTGCCCACGTCTCTGGGAGCTGCTTGGCAGGAGAGGCCCTGCTTTGTCAACCTTACATTCTTACCAGCACACGGTAGGAAATAACAAGTGACTGTATAGTTAGAGCTACAAAGCACTTAATTGTGAGAACGATCTAACCTCCTAAATTTTAGATTTGAAGAAACTAAAATCTCTGAGAGGCCAGGCGTGGTGGCTCAAGCCTGTAATCCCAGTACTTTGGGAGGCTCAGGGAGGAGGATCACTTGAGACCAAGAGTGCGAGATCAGCCTGGGCAACATAGTGAGACCTCAGCCTTTATAAAAATAAGACAAATTAGCCAGGCGTGGTGGTGCCTGCTGCAGTCCCAGCGACTCGGGAGGCTGAGCTGGGAAGATCATTTGAGCCCCGGAGTTCGAGGCTGCAGCGAGCTATGACTGGGCTACTGCACTCCAGCCTGGGCGACAGAGCGAGACTCTGTGTCAAAAACAGCAACAATAAAAAAGCCACTGTGAGAGGTGGAAACGTGCCCAATTTCGCTCATCCGACAGTCTCTCTGATACAACGAAACGATACTCTGGGAGAACCGCCGCAGCGTCGGCATCGCATCAGCGATGCTGTCACTCCAGAAAACAAAGAAGCCTGCGGAAGACGCTGCTCTGAGTAACAGGAAGATCTCATTTCAGGGAAGGCCTGCAGGGCGCATATTTATGAACAGTGTTAACAGTAAAATGCATAGACTCCCCCTTTGGGAGAATCTGATGAAAGTCATGGATACTTTTTCCAGAAAAATGCACACCATTTTCCACAGGTTTCAGGGGCACCTGGAGCCCAGCAGTGGGCCCCCAGTCACAGGGGCTCGAACGCTGCGAACAGGACAGAGCTCTCGTCTCCATTTCAGAGTGGCTGCTGCCGCGCACGGCGAGCACGGCCGAGCGCGCCAGGGGCCGCCCTACCCACGGCCTCCTGGGAGAAAGCCCTTTCGTGGCCACTTACCTCTTTAGGAGAAAGAATAGAAATGTAGTCGTCATATATGAGCCTTGCTTTCTCTTCGATAATGTTTTTATTAGCTTCTTTTTTCAGTTCCTCGCAGGCCATCCAGAAAAGCATATTTTCTTCACTGAATTCTGTTCGGAGGAATTCTCGGAAAGCGTTTCTTCCCGCTGGGGTGATCATTAATTTGTCGAATGACTGAGCCCAGGTGTTGACTTCTTCCAGCGTAGGAGATGGGCTTCGTGGAGACCAAGAGAGAGGGCAAGAGGGAATTGTTATTGGTAGTTAATTTTGAGTTTCATCACTAGAAACGTATCTTTTCTCCTCCGAGAATGAAAAATGTATGCATTTAGGCCCCTTTAGGAAGGGAAAGAGCTGTTTTCATTTCCTCAAGCCTTTGGCAAAAACACATGAGTATGATCCTTCCGTATTGTTTATCTGGATTTCATGGCTACTGTCAAAATGCTTGCAAACCAAGCTGCTAGAATAACTGCTAAGAACACATGTGTTTACAACGAGACATACCTTACAATATTTTTTAAATTGTTAAAAGAAAAATCCTACAACCATCTGACCCAAAATTTCCTAATCACCTATAACAGAACTAAGTCAGATTTAGTTTAATATCTCTTTTATCTTTTTTTCATAGTTTTTAATGTATGTATGTACCCCAAAGAGTATTTTTTCTGGAGTGCAGTGGCACTATCGCAGCTACTGCAACCTCGAACTCCGGGCTCAAGCGATCCTCTGTCTCAGCTTCCTAAAGCGCCAGAATTATAGGCATGAGCCACCAGCCACCGTGCCAGACCTGAAAAATGCATTCTTTATTTTTTTAAAAAAAAATTACAAAAATGGCTTACTATACATTGTCTTCTGCTTGTTGTTATATGTGGCCAGAGTTCCTGAATAGGATTCACACCTAACTTTCCATCCTTGCACTCTCCTCATCAGGTTTGGTATCACTAGTACGTGGGCCTCGTAGATATCTGGGTAGTTATGCAAAAGTTGTATAATCTTGGAATGAGCTATTTCTGGAATGTTTTGTGGAACTGGCCTATTAAACCATGTGGATTCAGTGTTTGTTCTGCAGAAAGATGGCATGGGTTGAATTGTGTCCCTCTAAAAAGATATGTTGAAGTTCTACCCCCCAATATCTCAGAATGTGACATTATTTGGGAATAAAGTCATTGCAGATCTCTCTGAGTTAAGTCAAGGTCATGGGGGTGAGACCTCATCCAGTATGACTAATATCCTTGTAAGAAGGAGAAATCGACACCGACATAGACATGCACAGAGGTGAGGTAACAGGAAGACACACGGAGGAGCTGGCTGTGTGACCAGAGCGCCTATCTGCAAGCCAAGGAACGCCAAGGATTGCGGGCGACTACCGGAAGCTGGGAGAGGCGGGAAGCAGCCTCCCCAGCGCCCCCAGAGTGCAGAGAAAGCACAGCCCTGCTGCCTGCCGGCTTTGGGACTTCTGGCTTCAAGAACTGTGAGGCAATACATTTCTGTTGTTTTAAGCTACTGAGTTTTTGGTACTTTGTTACGGCGGTCCTAGCAAACTAATATAGAAGGTTATTAATTACTGACATAGCGTAATAGTTACAGGACTATTCTGACCCTTTACTTCTTCTTGACTCTGTTTTAGTAATTTCCCCCTATTTAGAAATTTGTTTGGGTGTGTGAATTATCAAGTTCATTGGCATAACGTGTTCCTAGCATTCTCATACTATCAATCTCTGCCGGATGTCTATTTTGCTTTCCTTCCTAATATTATTTCGTTGTTGCCTCGTCTTTGTTTTTTTGACCAGCGGAGGATATCTATTATGTGTCTTTTTTAAAAATAAGCTTTTGCCTTGCTCAGTCCTCCACTGTGTCTCTGTTTTCTATTTCATTGACTTCTGTGCTTATATATCAGTATCTCCCTCCTTTGACTTTTTCATGCTTATTCTTAAATTGGACACTTAGCCTGTTAGTGATCAGTCTGTCTTCTTTTCTGATATAAACACTTAGGGGTATATATTTTTCCCTACTTACTGCTTTCCCT